AAATGTAGATGATCAGGTGTGTGCCTGTAGACTAAGCATTAATCCAAGCTAGACAAGGGCAATAAAACATCCATGGATGCAGAAGATTTCTCTCAAAACAGGGGGGGTGAAGTTCTAAGCCTCACCTCTGTTGATCCCCAATTTCTCACCTGATGGCCCCCCTGCAACTGTGCCTGTCTTAGGTTGTTCCTCCCTTGATATTTTTTTTATATAGTGATAATATATTTCTTTTTGTTGTTTTGTTAGCATGTGGCTACATCGTCTTCATAACAGACATTTTTTCTTTATTGAAGTTGTAGTTTATATACAGTATTATATTGGTGTCAGGTGTGCAACATAGTGATTTGACAATTATCTTCATTACTAAATGCTCACCACGGTAAGTGTAGTTACCATCTGTCAACATATAACACATTTTTAATGACTACATAATACTCCCAATAAGTATATATGCTCAAATTATTATTCTATTGCTGAATATTTAGATTGTTTTATTTTTGGATATTGATAAATTTCTTTGTGCTTGTAACTGTTTTCCAAATGTCAGATTACTGTTCTGGGCAAGATTTCCCAAATTACTGGGGTCAAAAGTTAAGAACAGTTTTATGTTTCTTGATATCACTACCAAATTGCTTTTTAAAGGGTTGTACCAATTAACTAAATAACTATCTCCTTTTATTTTTTTGGCAGATGAGGAAACTGAAGCCCAGAGAGCAAATGAAATGCCAAAGGTAATGGTGACATATCTGAAGCTGAAACCCAGGACCAAAATTTCTAGTCTGTTTTTTTTTAAGCAGTGCTTATAACCTTAATTTCATGATGTAACTTAAAATGAAGCTGCACATTACTATCGTATTGTTTCTCCTAAACTTTAGACATTTATGGACCACCTTTATGACTTTTGCTATAGCTTGTACTACCTCTACTATTATTTACTTCATGCTTTTTCTGTAAACAAGTTTTATTTACAAAACAGCCTCAATTATATACAATGTTATTTGTGAGATTATGGGTTTGACACATGCTTAGATTTTTTTCTAACATGGATTAAAATAAACATAGCTATTAAAATAAGAGCAAATTTATGTTCTACTTAAAATCAATTTGGAAAATTCTGGTACAGTGGAATAACACTTGGACTCAATACTTGCTTTGTCACTTAATTATGTAGCCTTGATTGAACAAGTGACTTAGCTTCTTTGGTCTTTGGTTCTCTGATTTGTAAAATGAGGATAGTAGTATCCACCTTGCAGAATTAAGAGTAAATGAACTACTGTGGGTGCCCAGCGCCCAAGTAGGTGTTCAGTGCATGGTAGCTGTTATTGTGGCTGTTACTGCGACTTTTAGTTTTTTCCCAGAGTGTCTATGCTGGAATGCTAGGCTTGTGGCTTTGTGCTGGCTTGTATGTGTAAAAACGTTTTACTTCCACTTGTTAGGACTGTGATATATCTATCATTATTTTGACTTCCCAGTCCTACATATCAGGTCTGTGGTTCTGGACAAGTTGCTTAACTTCTCTGTGCCTCATTTACCTAATTTGTAAAATGGGGCTAAAAATAGTACTCTAGTATGTGCATGCATACATCTCTTTCTTAACTCTGTCCACCAGGGGGCCTAGAAGCACTAGCACCTAGTAACAATGGGCAATCCCAGTGGGCATGGTTTGTAAATACCATTCTCCCGTGAAAGAATTTAGGGCTTTTTGGAGAAATGGCTGATTTCAGGGCTGGGGCAGAAAAGTACAATATGAGCCTGGAACATCTTTTGGAGTCAGAAAGTCAGGAACTGCTAACAAAAAAATGGTATGTCAAAAAGACACAGAAGCCCATTTTGAAGGAGCTCTCAATGGCCAATTTGGTGGCAATATGAACAACATAATAAATAATGATAGTAAAAGATTATAATCCACAAATATCCATGAGTCTTTACTTATATAAATAAGTAATTGAATAACAAATAAACGGGAGAGAAGCAATGGCTCTTTCTTACAGTAGAATCCCAATTAATAAATAGAGAAGGAATGATGGAAATAGAAAATCACCATTTGGCTAACACCATAGTAATACTTGCTGTAGGCAAGAATTATCAATGGATTTTAAAAATTAATGGACAAAGGTGTGATGAGAAGAAACAGGCTATTTGTGTAGTCTCAAGGTATCTCTCTACAAGATACTAATTAATTATAATGGGAAAAATAGTGACTTTACAGTAGTGAAACCTGGCAGACACCATCTTAACTGAGTATTCGGAGTGAACATCTCACAACCAGTAGTGAGAGTTATTGCTATCATGGGCCTTCTGATGGGATACACTGAGAAAGCACACATTATTTTATGGTATTCTTGCCAAAAATGCATAATCTGAATTTAATCACGAGGAAATATCAGCGCAAACTGAGGGACACTCTACAAAACAACTGACCAATACTCTTGAAAAGTGTCCAGGTCATGAAAGACAAAGAAGGCTGAGAAATTACCCTAGATTGGAGGAGACCGAGAAGGCATGATAACTATTCAGCGTAAGATCCTGGATTGCAGTCTGGACCAAAGGACATTAATGTGATGATTTGCAAAATTTGAAAATTTGTACATTAGTTAATAGTATTGTAGCAGTGCTAATTGCCTGGTTTTGGCAATCATATTATGGTTATGTAAGGTGTTACTTGAAAAGAACTGGATGAAGGATATATTGGAACTCTGATTGCTTTTATAACATTTTTAAGTCTGAGAGATGAAAAATTAATTAAAACATACATTATATTAATTAAAACTCACATTAGATTGTGAGTACACAATGAGGTAATATACATAAAGTGCTTCAAACAGTGCCTTATGTAAGATTGCTTTAATGCATGTCAGCTCTTATCATAAGTAATTTTATAATTAATAAGCAATATTGCAAGTAATGAGTAATATAAGTATTTTATTTCCTAACATTCTCATATTATTCCCCCTCTCCTGTGAAAAGTATATTAAGCATGTGTGTGGTTATTTTAAGAGATAAAGTATGATCAGATTTTATTTTGAGAATTTTGTGGGGGAATCGGGTGAGGGTATCATTTCCTCTAGCCAGACTTGAATGCTTGGCTGGGTAACAAGAATTGAGCCTGGCCACTCCTCCCCTATGTGGTTTGTAGTAGCGCCACCTGGCGACACAGTAAGCTTTTTCCTATTCGTTGCCCTTGTGCTTTAGGAGGTCCTTTGGAAATTTTACTCAGGCCATGTTTTGGACCCTTACTAGGTACACATTATAGATCATTTAATATTCACAACAGTTCTGTGTGCTAAGTGGTAATTTATTCATTTTAAGATGCTAAAACTGAGGCTCCAAAAAGTTAAGCAACTTATTCAGAATTGCCAGGATTTGGATCTAGTTTCCCCTGACTTCAAGGCCAAGTCTAAAGGTCTAGATAAGTCTGAATGTGTAGCCATATTTGACAACTATTGATAGACATCAGTGGTTCTAAACTGGGGAGCGATTTCCCCCTCTAGGGACATTTGGTCAGGTCAGGAGATATTTCTGGCTATGGTAACCAGGGGTAGGGTTGGAGAGGCTCCTGTTGGCATCTAATGGGTAGAGGCCACACGGATGCTGCTGCACATCTTAGAGTGCACAGAACAGCACCCTGCAGCAAAAAATTATCCAGCCCCAAATGTCAATAGAGCTATCAAATCCAGATGTAGAACTTAGAAACCCGAGAATTTATTCTTTCACTCAGCAAATGTTTACTGAGTACTGTTCTGGATAGTGTGAGGCATATGGAAACAATATACCAGATTGTGCTACCAAGTCGGTTATAGTCTGGAAGGGCTTGGGGTGGAAGGAAGTAGGAGGGCATACCAACACCTTTCGTCTAAGGCAGAATATGTAAGTGCAAAGAGAGAGAGTCAAGTTAGGGCTAAGCATGCACATAGGAGGGAGAGCTCACATCTGATTGTGGGAGGAATCAAGGGAGGCTTTGGGGAGGAGGTGGTTTTGAGCTTTCTTGTACAGGAAAGTTCAGGGAACAGCCAACAGTTCAGTTTAGGTAGACCCCAGCTTGTGTTAGTGAGTGGAAGTGGTGGACTGGACAGGCAGGTCATGGTTAGAGCTTTGAATCCAGGCTGAGGACTTTAGCCTTGGTGTGTGTCATAGTGATGGAAAAGCCTTCCCTTCCATAAGGGTGGTCTAGGCCCTAGGGCTATGGGGCCCATCAGCTTCCAGAGAGCTCTCTTTCTACAAAGGGAGGGGTAGTTTGACATTGGGATGAAGTAGGGTGAACTTCTCCTGATTGTAAGGACTGAGTTGAGGCTAAATATGTAACAAAGCTATTTCATATCAAAGTAGCCCTTGGGGAAATGGTTCTCTCAAGTAGCAACATATACAGGAATGAGCTCACTTCTGCTTAGGGCTAGACAAGTTATAGTGAAAACTGGAACCAATTTGGAACCCCTAACCAAAGGAGTGCTTCCCAAAAGGTAAGCCATTAAAACAGAGCTTGCTATGGCTAAAGCTTCAACTAAGGACGCTAGTTTAGTGATATGATTTTTCTAGTTTGTTACTTTACCACCAAATAGCGTTAAAAATTGTTGGTGGCATGTCGGGTGCACTATAAAGAATATAAGCAAGGGCTTCCTTATCTTTTACGAATGTACAATTGCCTTCAACACCTTTACACTGATGCTACCAAGGTGGGCCTTGGGGAAATTCATTACTCCTCTGGAAAAGTAATTGGGAGATAAGGTAGGGGAGCAAATCTTTGTTGAGCCAGTATTTTATTTTTTTGCTAGCTAAAGTTTCAGATACTTTCATATACATTCTCATTTAACTTGCAAAATACTCTTTGGATGTAAGGACAATTTCCTACTTTTTGTAAATGAAGAAGCAAGACTGAGATAGGCTAACTTGTCCCAAATCCCTGTAGCTAAAAGAGGCTACATTTTAATGCATGTTTTTGCAACATTTTCTTTTCTCTTTTGCCATATTTCCTCCCACCTTTATAGAAAATTAATCTTATTTACCTGGATTTGGATTGCTGGAGACCACAGACATCAGCATTAGTGGCAGAAATAGAAGGAGGGAAGAGATAAGAACTTTCATTGTGACTACTGGTGCTGCTGTAAATTTCCTGAAGAGTGTGGAAGGTCCTGTTAGCGGCTCCCAACTTCTTGGGATGGATCAGGCTGTGGTACTTGGCTTGGAGGTGTGCGCTTTAATCCCAAGCCAGTGTTCCCATCAAAGGACAAGAACAGCTAAGTGACACTGGCCTTGTTAGGTAACGGTTGGATCATATGATTTATGGGAATCTGGGAGGTAAAACTGGCCAAACAAAAGAAATGAAGCATTCTTGAGAACATAAGAAGGTGACTGATAACTTGGCAGCCGGTACTCATTCCCTCCCCTCCAACTTCCTGCCTCCTCACTGTGTTATGATTTCTTCCCCAAGTCTTTTTGCTTGTTTGAATTTCCTTATACCTCTCAGTGACACTTTCTAGCTTAATATCTGGCAGGGAAGTGCCTGCTAAGGGTTTTCAGAAGAAGGGATGACCCGGTCTGTTTCCCTTATGTCTTCCCCGCTCCCATCCTTGGCACAATATCAGCAATAGTAGTTTTAGTGCTTGGGAAGAATTGTCCTCACTGTACTTACAATTTCCTCCAATTCCGTGGCCACATAAGTCAAGTGAGAAGCAGAGAGGATCAAGGAGGAGAGGCTGTTCTCTCTTGTCCAAACACTGCCCCTGGAGCACGCCTCCTTGTTCTTCAGGAAGGTGACTGTGGCTTATTGCTCCAGCCTATGGGTTGGTGGAAGACCCCCCCAGGGCTTCAGGTCCAAGAGGGTTTGAGAAACAGAACCACAGGAGGGAAGGAGCCATGAAATAGTGTTTACCCAGGTTGTTGGAGCTTTTGGCTCCAGACCTTGTTTGGAAACAACCCAGGTAAAAGAAGAAGGTAATGCTATACTTCCAGTAAGCATTAGGGGTTACAGAACAGCAGCACTTACTTCACTTGACTCATTCCAGAGACTTGAGGACGTGTGCTCAAAGAAGGAGGAGACGCCGAGCTGGAATGTTGGATGATATTTGCAGGTGCTGAGGGCTGGCTAGCAAGGAAGTTCTGCCTGGCACCCTCCAAGAAGGAGTGAGATAAGGTGGTATGACTTTGTTTCACCTCAGAGGAGAAAAGAGGCAAGACATGAGTCAAGCCTCTTTGATTTTTGTTTCATCATTCTTATACTCTCAATTTTCAAATTATTTCTGCTTATTGACATGTTGGAGGGTTGATTGTAGGCTTTACTATTACAGAGTTTTTCAAGCACTTTCATGGGGCCAGCCACTATGCTAGGCAGTGGAGATAGTCCGCAAGTTGAATGCTCAGGCTTGGACTGAGCATGATCTGATAAAAGTCACTGATGTGGCCTCTCTAGAAAGTTCTAAGAATGGTCTCCATCCACGGAAGGCTCAAGTCTAACCAGGGAGATGACATACACTTCATAAAACCTAGAGATATTTGTGGAACCAATTTCAGAAGTGGCAGGAGTTTGCTGTGGGGCTCAGAGTAGCTCAAGGGCCTCTGGGTTAGGGGGAACTTGGGCTGGGTCTTAAGGGTGGGGTAGGATTTGGTTGGTGGAGCATACACAGGAGGGCAGTGAAGGAGCATGGGACTAATTGGACGGGGATCTCCGTGAGGGCAGGGGCTGTTTATTATTCATTTTTGGACTCCTGAACTTATGTAGGGCCTGGCACTTTGGGAGTACTCTATAAATGTTTGTTGAGTTGAATGATATTTTTGTAACACTTTAACTAGGCCTGATATGTTAGAAAGCATGTGAAAGTGCAGTCCATTACCAGAAAGAAAACTTTACTGATAAATGATCATTCAGTCATTTCGAACCCGTGGGAGTGCTTTACTTTTTCCATTGCGTTGGCCATCAGTCTGCCCCCAGGCTGCTGCAGTGTCAGGAGCTCCTCTCAGACCTTCCTCCAGGTCCCTCAGTTTGTTTTCTCTGCTCTCCCCTGGCCCCTGCTCCCTGTCAGTTCGCCTTTCTGGTTTCCCCTCCATGGACTTAGGGGTGAGGTTGTTGGGTCCTGTGTACTGAGAGAGGTCGATTGATATGAAACACCTACAAGATAGACTTTTCTCTTGTTAATATTGACAACTACGTAGAGTCCATCTAGAGAATACTGTTTGTGTCAGCAGTCTTTCTGACTTACAAAGTCCTCTCTCCAGGAAGGAGGTAAGGGGAAAGTGGGGAGAAAATACCATTCTGCCACTGTTATTTGGTTTTCCCACTCTACAGTGTACTTAGTAGACATTCAGAAATATCTTTTGATTGACTTCGTGATTCATGTTGCTTTAATAATAATCATTTACTCATGTATTTATTCAGTGGACCTTTCAGCACCTAATGTGTACCTGGTGTTGGCTAGGTGGTGACTGCTGAGAAGAAGGTGTGGTGCTGTCCCTGAGGCCCTCTCATTATACACACAGACCCGGAGAGCTAATCCAACCACTCTATTTTAGAAGCAGAAATTAAAGTGCAGAGAAGATATATGATACATTCAACATCATACAGTCAGTCAGCATCAAAGCCACAGGATTAAAAAGCTTCCTGACTTGCTAGAATTTGTTAGTATGCAGCTGCCTGGGTGCGGCCTGTGTGAATGTGAGCTCTGATAGGAGAGATGCGACATTCAGAATGAAGTGAGTCCATAAACACCCTGGATTAGCCAGGAGGAAGGGTCCAGTCCAGCAATGACTGCAAAAACAGCCAACTGGGACATTTGCATACTTTTTTTCCACTTTGATCTTGAAATGAGGAAAACTCAACACAGAAAACCAAGTGTAGAAGATTTTCACAAGGGGTTGATGAGATGGGCTAATGTCATGTTGTTTTTCATTGATTTGTAATGGCCTGGCTTTGAATTGGGTTCCCTCCTAGAGCTCAGTGAGTGCAGGGACCAGTGTGAGTCATCTTTTTTCAAGTGCATAGTACATAGCAGGCAGGCTCTACTAAATATTTCTTTAAAAATAAACATGAATAAAAAGGTTACACCTATACAGGTATGGGATGACTGAACAGCCGCACACATTGGAAAAACCAGTATCCTCAGATCAGCCGATGTTGTATTTGGCTTTCTAAATATAGGTGTAGTGTCCAGATGGGGAAATGGGTAGTCCTTGGCTGTGTGCCTCTGGTTAAAATACTAGAATTCATTTTCTGCTGTAGCTGATACACTTTGCTTGCCCATCAGAAAATGACAGGAGAGTGTAAGGACTTCAGAATAGTCACTTGGGAATGGCTGAGGGGCGAATGGGAGGGGCACATGGGGGTTGTTCACAAATATCTGAAGGTCTGTTGGGTGAAAGGGTATTAGACTTTTAATTCATTGCCTACAGAGACTAGGACTAGAATTTATGAGTATATACATCAGATATATTTTGGCTCAGAATGAGAACTGTCAGAATAAAGTAAGTTTCCTCAGAAAGTTACAAGTTTACTGGTGGAGATCAGGTAGGGGCTGAATGTCTGAAAATTACTTTCATAGTGATTTTTTTTTCTTTTTAAGGTTACAAGTGCAGAGAGACCTTGACTTGGAACCCAGGTTTCCACTAATACCACATTTTATTACGTATAAAAATTGCCCTTTGAAATGTGACATTACCCTATGATGCAGGCTGAGCTCCATGTGAGTTACTTCCAGTCACTGTGGGTGGTTCTTATCTAATTGGTGAACTTGGACTTCACCCCAGCCACCCGCCATCCGCCACCCGCCTTTACTGATGAGAACAGCAAGATCAAGTGCTTTTACTAATGATAGCCACAAGGTGGGAGCACCGCCCAGCTGGTGTTCCTAAGGACTCTACCCAGATGGGGAGTCTAAGACCGTGGGGGGAAGGTACAAATGAAAGAGTAGGTAAACACTTTCGTTTCTTTTTAACTGTGAAGTGACCAAGGTAAGGTGAGTCTGCAGCCATTGCATTTTAGAACTGGGAGATGCTTTAGAGAAGTGTCTCAGACTTTAAAGTGCTTATGGGTCTGTTTAAACACAGTCAGATTCTTTCCGTGGGGCCTGAGATTCTGCATTTATAACAAGCTTTTGGACAAAGGTGTTGCTGTTGGTTGGTGGACCACACATTGAGTAGCAAAGCATTAGAGGTCATTTAGAGATTAATTCTCATTTCACCTGATTCATGGAATGGAGAGAAACTGAAGTCCAGAAAGAGAGAACATGGCTTGCCTAATATAGTCGTAACTTTTTGCATTTAAATCTAAGCTGACTCTTGGTCCAGTTCTTGCTCCGTTCTGTTGTGAGGCTCTCTTTACTGTTGTTTAGTGACATCTTTTTCGCTTAGGACACCAGAACTCCCATTTTCACCACCCTCCCCTTTGGTCTTTGCTCAAGGTGTCCGTTTGGTTACTCCCTTACTTAACCTTCAGTGGCTCTTCTGTAACCGCAATATCAGGTTCAAATATCTCTGTCTAGTTTTCAAGGGACATGTGGTACCACTTCAGCAAGCTTACCTAACTTTTCTGTTTCTTAACTCTATCTTTCTACCATACCTATCCCTGCTACTTTCTGTTCCTAAAACATAGTCTTCTTCCAGTGGTAGTGGTATTGACATGGCTTTGGAGTTAGACATGCCTGCTTTCTAATCCCATGTCTGCCACTGATCATGATAAGTTACCTTACCTTTCTGAGGATCAGCATCCTCCTCTGACATAACCAGATGCAGTGGTTGAGAGAAATAAATAAAGTAATAAATGCAAACGTGCTCTCATGCCTGAAATCCTCTTCAAAACAAGCCTCTCCAGTGGTGCTTGATACCTGGTTCTTTGTGCTTGTGTTTCTCCTTGTCTCTTTTTGCCTATGACTTAACCATTCAAAGGCCTAACCTGAATCCTTCCTCTTTTTTTTCATTGAAGTATCATTGATATACAATCTTATGAAGGTTTCACATGAACAACATTGTGGTTTCAACTTTCAACATTCACCCATATTATCAAGTCCTCACTAGCACCCCCACTGCCCACCCCTATTGCAGTCACTGTCTATCAGTGTAGTAAGATGCTATAGAGTCATTACTTGTCTTGTCTGTGCTGGACTGCCTTCCCCGTGACCTACCTATGTTGTGTCTGCTAATTGTAGTGCCCCTTAATCCCCTTCTCCCTCCCTCCGCACCCACCCTTCCCCACCCTCCCTTTTGGTAACCACTAGTCCCTTCTTGGAGTCTGTGAGTCTGCTGCTGTTTTATTCCTTCAATTTTGCTTTGTTGTTA